AATGGCGCTTCTGGTAGCTTCGATGGGTACAAAACTAATAAAATTATTTAGAATTATTGATTGATAATTTCTTGCATTGGGTAAATCATTATGATTTAATTTCATCCTAGAAGTTGTATCTCCATATTTCCATGTTCTTCCATTCTTTATTTTCTTCCTTTATTTTTTTTCATCCACACTTCTTCTGTCTCCTTTATTTTTTTTTCATCTACATAACTAATCGTATTTGTAGTAAAATTATACTTTGTTTTAAATATTCAATTTTAAACGTTTTTTTTAGAATTTTTAACTTTGAATTTAACTTTTTTCTTAAATAAATAAGTTATCATTTTTATCGTCATCTAAAATTCTGGTCATGTGATTCCTGTAATGTTGGAACACACTAACCTGGCCTACGCAATACCGTCAACCGGGGCTACTCGGGACGGTTTTGAGCATTTTTTGTTAACCCTTTCAGGACGGATGTAGACTGTAGTCTACATTAAATTCTAGTCTATTTTTAGGGCATTTCTAATTACAATCTAGGATATTTTTAAGGCATAATTTGTTGTTGTGTTATGATATGTTACGGTATAATTTGTTGTCCTGTTCTATGTTATGTTATAATGTGATGTGTTATGTTACCTATGTTATAATGTGTGGTGTTATGTTGTGTTACAATGTGTGTAGTTATGTTATTATAATATATTGTTATGCTGTATTTTGTTACATTATGATGTGTTATGTTATGTTGATACAATGTATTCTGTTTTGTTACGTTGTGTTATGATGTATGATGTTATGTTTTGTTACAATATATTCTGTTGTGTTATAATGTGTAGTGTTGTGTTATGATGTGTTTTTTATTATAATTTGTGTTGTAATGTATTGTGTCATAATGTGTTGTTCTATTGCCATGTGTTATACCACATCAATTGTTAAGCGTGTGAATCAGTTCATCATTGGGCATCTGTCAAATAGATCGTGAAGCGTGTGTGCTTGTGTTGATCATCAGACATTGGCCAAATTAGTCGTGAAATGCGTGCACATATGTTGATCATCAGGCATCAACTACATCAATTGTAAACTGTGTGCATCCATGTCCATCAGACATCAACTACATTGATCTTAAAGCGTGTGTGTGTCTGTCGATCATCAGGCATTGTCTGCATCTGTTGCAAAGAGCGTGCATCAAAATCAGTTATTGGGCATTGGCCACATTGATTGACTACATCAATCATAAAGTGTGCGCATAAGAGTTGATCATTGGGCATCAGCCGCATCTATCATGAAGCACGAGCATCAAAATGGATTATTGGACATCAGCCACATTGATTGTGAAATACCTGCACCTCGGCACCTTACCAAGCATATGGTGTCCAAACTATAAAGTTAAAACAGCTAGGTTTAAAATAATTTTTGCATCACAGTATTTACAGGCTATGGTTCCAAAATAAGATGTGGCTGAGCTTTCCTAAGAGCTAAATTATTTGCAAGAAATTTGGTGATACGTTCATCTGGTACAGGTTCAATAGTCGCATATTAAGGTGTTGGCAGGCATATGGGCATCGCAAAAAGTTTTTTTTAGAATTTAGATTATTTCTTAAGTTCATTTATTAGTCCTATAAGTAAACTAGCAAAGTCATGGATACCACAATTATCATGCATAAGATATTGGTTTAAATCTTGAGTAAATAAGGCTGGCATGGCACAATTGAGCTAATCTGGGAGCCATGTATCTGTGAAACTTTCTAAAAGCTTACCATTTCATGAGACAAATCACCACTAAAACATGGAGGCAGTAACCTGGTAACCTGGGCCTACTTCTAATCCTTCCTCTGGACTGCATATTGTGCAGCATTTGATAACCAGCATTATTCTAAGTACCCACATCTACAAGATATTACTGAGAAGACTATCTTGTGTAAAGCAAGCAGCTAATTTTTACCCATTTCATCTTAATTCCTCCTGAATCCTGCCCAGATGATTTAATTCTTTAAAAATCTGTTGATTTCTAAACTGTATAACTAATCAAATCACTACACAAATTTTCCATTGTGGCAGAAGATTTAAGAGAATAATGTCCTAAATGCAATGTATTTAGGGTAATTATATATTGTAGGTAAGCCTCAATATTTTGGTTACCAACATTTTCCAATTGTTCATTGGGAATAATTTTTGAGTATATAGAAAATTCTGGATACTGTCAGTTTAATGGATGATGTTGTGCAAGTAATGAGTTGCATTTGTTGATTAAATCAGGGTTGTCTTTTAGTTCACTCTGTTTTCTGTTTGTAAGAAAAAATATTTGACGAATTTTAGTTTCAGTGATATTATTCAGGTGTTACAAACATTCTGTGTGGACTTCTATACCTTTTTCAAGCTTGCAGAATTTTTGGAGATTGTTGCAAACTTGAACTCCTTTGTTTTTCCTTTCATAGATCCATCAATATATTTAGGTATTAAATCCTGTAAAAAAAGGCAACTCATACATTTTTTAGTCAAGATGCTATTTGATTCTTGTTTCTGATGCTACCTTGTCTAGAAAATTCTTGCCAAGTTTTGCAAGAATATAATGCATAAAAAACAACTATAATTGCAATTTAATAATACTCAAGACTGCTTTGAAGACATGAAACTAATTTGCTCCCAAGCCACAGCTGATTCTGAACCTGCTTCTGGTGAGTTGAATGAATATTAAACATATTGCTAATAACAGCTCAGTTATTTTTGTGACTTTGAACTTAGTGTAACCAGATGTTTATTCATTTTCATTTTTAAAGCTTTAGAGATCTTAATTTGATCTCATTGAATCTCTTTTATGTTCTAATCTCCGTAATTAAAAATGGATATCTATCATTGTATATTTTTTAGTAGATTTCTGAGGTAGCAAATTTCCTCATATATCCAGAAAATGAAATTTTTTCCTTTCATTGAGGCTATGTGCTTAACTTCTGCAAGAAAAAATTAAAATTACTTCTATGAATCCATATGCTAATTGATAACTATAGGAATATTTAAAAGCTTTGAAGGTAATACTAGTTTTTCTTTTTCACCTTACTTCCTAATGGCCTGCACTTGCCATTAGCACAAGCAATTATTTCATTTGAATAAACATTCAAGCTTCTAAATCTGAATGCATAGAATAGTTATTAATTGGACTTGAATCAAAATGGGTTTGAGTCCTCAGATTTGTTTACAATTTTAACAATGAAGAAGCTAACCTTCTTCACTGGTGGCTGCATTAGGAGTATATTTAGTAATTTTATTTTGATTAAATATATTAGTAGTTGTTCCTGACTGCATGTACCCACACATATACTCATGATACTGGTACTGTTGTTTTGTTTAACTTTTCACCAGGGTAGGTATTGTTTACATCACAATAGTGTAGAAATGACTGATTGAAATTTAATATGAATAATTTTCAAGACTGGTGCTGCAAATTTTATCTCTTTTTACCCTGCTACACTTTTTTATCATTTTTAGTGAAAATTACATAAGTTACTGTAGACTCTGCAGTGAATATGGTTATTAAAAGAACCATTAAATCCATCAATTTTGCTCATTAAAAATTTGCTCATTGATGAAAACAAAGGAAACCTTGCAGGCTTTCCATTATTTATTTTTAATAATATTGATTGACCTGAAAAAATGCAAGTGGAATTGTTGGAAAACTAATAATTTGATTGTTTGTCAAATCATAGGGGAAGATGTTTCAAAAAGGGTCCAACAGTTATATTCATTGTGAATTTAGATATTTCTGATAAATTTCTTTCCAGCCCATGCATGAGTGAAATACTTGTAAAAAATTCAAGATAAATTATTAACCATTACAGATTTAAGCTAAGTTTTGACTTTAATATATTATTTTGTATTTTTCTTTGTTTCTTGTTTATGAAGTTTATTCATTCATTGTTATTCTTTGGTTGCTCCTATGTTGCTCTTGTGTTGCTTGATTATTAGAGTTTTTATTTGAGCAGGAAGGTCTCCCCTGTCATACTCTCCATCAGCCTAGGTAAAGTACTCCTGGCTCTATTATGGTTTGTTTGCAATTTTGTTTAAAAATACTTTATGACCTTCATTTGTTTTTGTGATGAAATTTTTGATGAATCCTAAACTCTGCTCTATTCATTAAAAGATCAACTTTATTTGCAGCATTTAGTTAAATTTGAATATGTACATTGATTGGATTTTTGAAAATTCAATTTAAATAAATGATTTGAATCAAAGTCTTGTGATCTAATAAATGTCTGTGTTGCAGGCTTGTTGCTTCATAATGGGTATTCTATTGCATGCTTGTTGTAAATTTAGTTTAATTATAACAATCAATTATGATAACATTTTCTAGCTTGGGGGGAAGAGGTTCCGCAAATAATGCAAAGCTTCATCTATAATGCTTTTGTGGAAAGATATTATTGTTTCTGATGATCATGTCTAATATTCAAAGTAGAGACTTGGATCCTGGGCTAAGTTGTTGAAATGTTGATATTGCTGAAAATGCAAGTTGTCCATTATTTTTTGCTCCTCCCATTGTTGCATTCATAAAATAAACTATAATGATACTTTTTGCATTTCCAATTCCTGCACTACTTGTACTATTCTGTAGGTATAAATTTAAATATTTCTGAAGAGTTTCTCACCATATTAATATCACTAGCCTGCAACTGCTTATATCTAATCACACATTCTGCACCCTAATTTTAGCCAAAAATAAAAATATTTCTGAAGACTTCCTCACCATATTAATGTCACTAACCAGCAACTGCTCATTTCTAATTGCACATTCTGCACCCTTATTTAATCCCTAATGATAATGCAACTTATTCGGGCATTGCTTGCGGTGACATCACAGAAGACGCAAGTTCTGCTGCTGCTACTACTCCACTTGGTGGTGGTAAAATGGCTTCCAGGAAATTCATCCTTACTCTTTCTTCGGGAATGATCTGTGGTTTCTTCTCATTCTATTTGTTAAACAGCTCATTATCTTACGCACCTGGGAGCCTCAACCCTCGCATCTATCAAGGCGCAAGGTAACTTATTTTCTTTTCTTCCACAAGCCCTGAAAGCAATTCTTGTTTAGTGCTAAAAGGCATCAGATGTGATCGCACTCCTCATATATAAGCAAATTGATTATTTTTCACATTCCACATTATTGAATTGTTAATGATGTGAGGAATTAAGTATTAATCTACAAATGAGTACAGTGGAACCCAAGAAGTTGACATTGATAGAATAAGACTTAATCAGAACCAGCTACAAACTTGTGGCAAAACTGTGACTTGGAAGTTGATGTAAATTAGGAAGTCCCTGAAACCATTGCAACTTTCCTAAACAAATGCAACTCAGTTTTTGATATTCACCACTAGATGGTTTTAGTCTGCTGGGGTTTTAATTTGATGTAAAGAGTTTCAGACTCTGCTTATTTCTTTTGCATGGAAAGGTAATTTTATTGTGGTTTGAAATAATTTCATTTGTAATTTAAACATTTCAGATATTACATATTCTTCCTGGAAAAGATTACCATCAACTGCTTGGGTACCACTTTATTAGCACCAATGTTTTTCAAATTTGAAATTTAGTGATCCATTCAGTGTTCTGCTTTGTTTAGCCGATTCAGTCTAAATCGGGTAATATGAGAATTTGTTAGCCTTTCAGTTCATTGACAAGCACCACACTCAAGATAACTGATGGTTTTTTACTGATTTGTTCTACTATTATCATATACTGAAGCTTTCATTCAGTTCTAACCCTATTTTGTCACGCTTATAAATAACCTGAAATTTAAATTCCTGAAATTAGTACAGGAAAGTAAGAACTATTATAAGATATGAGAATTGTTTGTATTTTTAAAAATATTGCATATCTGAGTAAATCATGCTAGAAGAATTTATCATGTGCAGTCACTACACTGTACACTAAGGGTTTTCTTTGTAATTCAAATTTAGTTGATGCAAATCTAAAGCATAATAATTTAAATAAATATAATTAAATTCAATCAAGTTACCTAAAATAATTTTGTATATACTTATTGCTACTCCTGTCTTTTGGAAGGAGTGGAAAAATGTGGAAGTAACTTCAATTTCATGGTCCGAGTCCAAGCTTTTGTTTACATGCTCATATTAAAATTTTTGCTCATTGCAGAAGGTGATGTTATGTATGGAATAATGGTCAGATAATTGCTGATGGGTTTTTTGGGAGATTTTAAGTGACCTTAAATGGTTAATTGCCTGCAAAACGGTTAATATCACTGCTGTTTCATGAGCTCAGGTTACTTTTAAGCTGTCCTTGCTTAATTACACAATTTTATCTGCGGATGTGCATGACGATAGAAATAAATCCTAAATTACTCTCTTCTTTGATTCTGAGAATGGGAGCTCTTGGATGGGATCTCTTTTGGATTTTTATACAAAAGATCTGCCATAGGAAGATATTCGTTCACACAAAAAATGCATTCTTGAGAATTTGAAACTATTTTGATGCCAAATTTAAAACAAAAAATATGTCACAAAAAAATTCTGATAGAAATCTGCGACAGATTATCAAAATTTGTCAACGGAAACATAGTAGTAATTTTATTTAGCAAGTGATGTTTACTAGCTGCTGAATAACATAAAAAGAAATGAATTCTAATCTGTTATGAACCCAATTGATGTGGCTGAAGAATCCCTATAACTTCCAGGACATTCTTCTACAAATATTTGGGTGCACAGTTAATATCTGCCACTTTGCTCTGTAACATGTGTTTTTTTTTCTTAAAATTTGCGGTCTTGCCTCGTATAAGAAATTTTAGAAGACATGAGCAAGTCAGCATTATTTTTAAAAATTGAATTCTTTTTTTCTGTCACATCCTCTTAAATTATATGTTCCAAATATTGACACATGAAAATAAAATTTTCCACCATCTTGTTTTTACTTTTTTGTAAATTTTTATTTGGAGCACAAGCTTTGATTTAATATTTTTGCACAAGTTAACTGTATACTGTAGGTATGGGTTGCATCAGAATTGCCTATAAATTAAAAATATAGATGAGGTTAAATTAATCTTGTTTATTTTTAGCAAATTGTACTCTTTTTGTTTGTCAATCAGCATCATTATATCAAGTGCATCACAAATGGAAACATTGAGCTCAGCTCTCATTGATGTGTTTATTTTTATTATTAGTTGAGACATTATATCTTGATTGTAATTTCTCTTATTTATGATGATTATTTCTCTATCCAAGCAGAAGTGCAGTGATGTTCCATTTGGTTGTACACTCATTGATCACTAATGTATTACATTCCTTTATCATTCAATATCAAAATATCACATGAAGTTTTGAAACTCAGAAATATTTCCAGCATTTTCTCTTTAATACTGTTAGAACATGTGTGATAAAAATTCCCTTCATTATGTGTAATCAAATTATGATATTTAATTTAATGATTGCTATGCATATTATGAACTAAATAATTATGCAGACATCATTTATTTTTCCCAAGAGAACGGAAATATTTTTTAATATTAATATTCAAGATTTAATATTCAAGATTTCATCTTTGAATTTTGGTATGTTTCATGATGCAGCCTCACCCACTATGGCCACGCTCACACCCATGAGGAGATGGAGGGTTGCAGATACCACCAGCCTGGGCAACATGAAATGGGGTTAGCAGTGTTATACTGGCATGGAAGCAGCAAGTAAAGCTGGCAGATGGCGCCTGCTCTACAAACATTGTAAAAATTCCTCACAATTGCAGGGTAAATAGCAAATGATTGCATGAAATGTACTAGCAAAAAGCTAATTCTGCTCACTATAACCAAAGTTGGCCATTTTGCCAAAAGCATTTGCTATTGTTGTCATCACACTAGGTACAGGTGTGGAAGCAAGGTCACACAATAACATCAATACTTTAATTACCATCTAAAATTGGTTGTTTACTAGAATGTCAAATAAAAGCACATCTGCACTGGCACAATAAACATAAACAATGTAAAACCACAGTTAGTTACTTTGTAAAATCGCGTCCCATCTCTAGATGATGCCAATGCACACACAGGTAACTACCACACTGACACTGAGGCCACACTGGGGAACCATATCAATGGAACGCACACCTAAGGCTGGCTAAAGTGTCGCGGGTGGACCAGCAAGCTCCTCTAGGTGATCCATTAAGGGTGATGCAGGTTATACAAAGGATTCACTGTTTGCACTGTGCCCATCAACTGCCCACCACAAGGAGCAATCCCAACCCACTTGCAGCCCAGGAGTTGTGTTGAAGGATGTCCTGGGGTCTGGTTTAATTTTCTGGTTTTTAGACCCAACTCTTGATGCCGTGTACAGGGTCAAAAGTAGGCAGGCAATCAGTAAGTAGCAGGATCAGGCAAGGTATGCAGCATGATCAAATGTTTGGCAGTTTGGCAAAACTTGCATCAAATTTGTCAACCAGGACTCAGCAGGAAAAAGCAGGGCTTGCACAAGTACATGCATCAGCTCAAATTACCTATTTGACATTTAATGATATACATTCATGAGTCTGGAAATGGTGTAAAACAGGGGAGTGGACTGAATGCATGGTGCAATGACATAATGTCACACCACTTCATAGGTATAGCCACACCACTACAATGTAGTTGATTGGGTTAAGAATAATAATTCTTTAAATTCATTACCAATTCATCCAGATAAAAATATGAAATGGTATGCATGTTTGCAGGTAAAACATTACCTACAATAATTCTTATCTGTCATGCTCAATATAATGCTAGAAAAAAACTAACAAGTCTTTACCACTATAGTTTGTTAGTACTGAACTGCTGACTGATCTTGATATGGCTGCTATCCTTGTATGATCTGGGTACCTTCTTCCATAGTTCAGCTCTTAACCACTGAGATTGAAGTCAGAATCACTCATTTCTAATCTTTCCTGTGAAAATGTACTCCTTCTGCTCTTGAAACAAAATCGTGATGATGGATCCAACTAGGACACTAATTACTTACACTTATTTCAGATCTCAATTCGGAAGCATTGAAATTGGCCTCTGAAGTGCGTGTTTTATGCTGGGTGATGACAAGTCCAGATAATCATGAGAAGAAAGCTAAGCATGTGCAGGCCACATGGGCCAAACGCTGTGACAAAACCATCTTTATGAGTTCACAAGCAGGTATGTTCATGGTAATGGAAATCTTAGTCTGCAACACTTACATACTTGTTGTTGAGTTACATTGAATGATCAATTTTTACTCCCTTCTATTTTGTGTCTCTCATGCTACTGTGCATCCGATCGATCTACCTTGAGGACCTGAGACTAGACAATGGACTCGTGCTTTACTTTAAGCAATCTCTTAAATTCACTTCTGGAAATGCCTTGTGTTGTCTGATTTGAAGTGTGTTCATGGTGTTGATGGCGTGTTCGTGATCTGCACCAATAATAATAACTGCAGTTGCTTTTGATAATAAAAAAATTTCAATCTCTTCAAATAACCTCTAATTGAAAATTTGAAGAAAAATTCCAATCTCTTCAAATAACCTCTAATTGAAAATTTGAAGAGAAATTGTGGCCTTTCTGTTGTCATAATTCAAGTTATTTCAATTTTTAGCCTTAGTTTGATAACATTTAATCGTCTTAATGAACATGTATTATGGTATGTATTGTTTAGTTTAGTTATAGGATTAACTGTTATTTCTGCATTGAACTAAAGCATTTGCTTCTCAGCCATTGCCGGGCGTTAAATGTTAGCGTCTCTCCAGTTTCCTAGAAGTGCAGCACTCCGAGCTGAATGATCACGTTATGTCCCTAATAATAAAACAGTTGCCTTGCAGTTAATGGAAAGTGATACAATCATTAATTCTTTGTCTTTTTTCAGATGCTGATTTGAATGCAGTAGCTGTGACAGATGGTGAAGGCCGCAACCGCCTGTGGGAGAAAACAAAGAACTCCTTCAAGTATCTGTACGAGAACCACCTCAATGATGCCGACTGGTTCCTCAAGGCAGATGACGACACGTCAGTTAACTTTCTCTCTTACTGCGCACTCTTTATATCTTAATCCCTTGTCCTGTCCCAATGCATTCTTCTGTTTACTTAACACTTGCTGCCATAAAGTTACCATTAGTTTGCTTTTGTTTTGAGTTATTCTATCAACTACACATTCGCTATGTCTCTAATTTTTACCCACGGCTTGAGAGTTATCTAATCGAATCCTTAAAGAGGTCACCTTATGCCTTTTTTTGTCCAATTTCACTCCTGTAGCAAATAAATTATATATATGTATTGTTTTGAAAAATTTTCATGTGCAATTGACTACAGTTGTTAACTGCATTCAGGTATTTACGTGTAAAATTTTAATCTTATTCAACTTGTTGAATGATTTTACAGCATTTAATTTTCTTCATGTTGTGAAAAGGTGTTGTGAGTTTAATACTAATTTTAGTTGGTAATTATGGCAAGTATACATGAAAATTAGACCAGTGTTTACCATTTCGATTTAAAAACGGCTGATTAGGAAGAAGCAAGCGAACAAAAAATATAACTTATAATTCAAAAATTAACATTGTATCTTTTGGTTTGAACGGTCAAAATTTGCATAACAATTTTGTTTTCATACCTCTGCCATTTTTTGGTATTAGCTGGCTTATTGATACCATTTAACCGAATTTGTCAGAATCAAGACACTGACTTTTTTAGGTACGTTGTGGTGGAGAACTTGAGATATTTCCTGAGTTCCTACAACAGCTCAGTGCCTCTCTGGTTTGGTAGGAAGTTTCGCAAATTTCTGAAGAATGGCTACATGAGTGGAGGTGTGTTCTAAGATTAACGAGCTTCTGCTTAGATTTAAACGTCTAGCTGCATGTTATACCTGTTAGTTTATTGCTGTGTTTTTAATTAGTTATTGCGTACACAAATTATGTATTAAATGAACAGTGCACTAATAACTGGAATATTACCAAATGATATTTCCTTCAGTCTTACAGTTTTAGATACATGTCAGTAAAAGTATAAATCCAAAGTCATAAATCCTGTCATATATATTCTCCTCTCAAAAGTATATTGAGGTATAGGAAACGAGAATTAATCGGTGGACATAATATCATTTAACATATCATCATTTAACATAATAATTAAAAGAACTTACATCCATTATATCCTTTGCGGAAGCGTTGCTTGAGCCTGTGTTCCTAATTGCAGGGGCGGGTTATGTGCTCAGTAAGGAGGCCGTCAAAAGACTTGTTGAGGAAGGCTTGCCCAACCCCAAGAAGTGCCGTAAGGACGGCAATGGAGCCGAGGATGTCGAAATGGGTACGCCTAATTATTTTCTATTGACTTGCATGGTCGGGGTCATTTAATGCAACCTGCGATTATTAAGTAAGGGAATCAATCCTGTTAGTGAATCGTCAGCCTGTCAGTTTATTGATGTGTAGTATCACTAAATTATTATGACTTGTGTCTTAGCTTCTTAGCTGTTGGATGAGGTTTTGCATTCCCGAAAACATAGTTTTCAGTTCGCAGTGCGCGCCTGCAGGTCTCGATTATGAGATTACGTTGTTCTGTAGGCAGGATACGTTGCATGTTACGTTGTTCTGTACGCAGCATACGTTGTGTAGGCAGGATACGTTGCAGGTTACGTTGTTCTGTACGCAGGATACATTGTGTAAGCAGGATACGTTGCAGGTTACGTTGTTCTGTACGCAGGATACATTGTGTAGGCAGGATACATTGCAGGCTAGGTTGTTCAGTAGGCAGGATACCATGCAGGTTGCGTTGTTTAATAGGCAGGATACGTTGCCTCCATTCCATCTCTTTCTCTCGTACTGGTAGTGTCTTGTGTAAGCAACTTCAGTTTGATTGTCATCATTAATGTTCATGTTTTAATTCTTTGGTCTCCACGGCTCAGCTGTCATTTGAGATTTGTCCTTGACGATGACTCTTTCTTGGTTGACAACATTGGCTATGAGGTTCATCAGTTTACTTGTGATTAATAATTTGTTAATTTCAGTACAAATGCGCAGGTAAATTCTCTTCCAATTGGATTACAGATATTAATTGAATATTCCCACTATAAGTATTGTGTTATTAGTTTTAAAAACTGTACGAAAGTTAGATTATCACGAACATTGTTTAAAAAGAGGAAAAAAACAAATTATTAATTACTTAACTGAAATAATTATTTGTGTTTATGAGTTATTTGTTTTCCTCTCTGTGAATTTTTCTTCCTGAAAGGTGCAGTCAAATCCGAATTTAATGATTTTATTGTACCCATAGTCCCTAAATAATAATTTGATGCTTTGCAGGGAAATGTCTTCAGAATCTTGGCGTGATGGCGGGCGATTCTCGCGACGAGATGGGCAGAGAAAGATTCTTCCCGTTCGTGCCTGAGCATCACCTCGTGCCCGGCCTTATTATTAGAATTGGTTTATTTTATATTTAGGTTGTTTTTAGTAATTGAAGGGCGTTATATATTCAATGAAAAAAAATTGTGTTCGAAAAAAAAACTCAATTTATTGTTGGGTTTAAATCTTTCAATATTAGGTTTCAATACGAACAAGTGTCTACTGAATACGTTTTTGAATTCATTTGCCAACACTTATAACAAATATCGCTATTCATTTTTATCCACTTCACCACTTGTCAGGGCATGAACTGTTGCTCGGACACCGCCGTGTCGTTCCATTACGTGACCCCAGGCCTGATGTATCAACTGGAGTACCTGCTCTACCACCTCAGACCTCACGGCATCCTGTCGCACGAGCCTGCGTCTCCTGCACTGCCTCCTGACGCCAAGAGCCTCCCTAAGGAGGTGTGGGCCTTAATAATAAGGAGCCTTCATTATCTGTTAGCAACTGTCGGCTCTTATATCAAATAATGATCCTACAATTTAAGGAAGAGACATCGGCTGGTACATAAAATAAGGATCCTTTAGTATTAAGGAAGAGCCGTCGGCTCATACATCAAATAGAGATCCTTCAATATTAAGGAAGAGCCGTCGGCTCATACATCAAATAGAGATCCTTCAATATTAAGGAAGAGCCGTCGGGTCATACATCAAATAATGATCCTTCAATATCTAGAAAAAGCTATTGGCTTATCAATTCGATGCGCCGATCCGCACATTGTAAAATATGGCAAAACTCTGGGAAAATGATTTCATGATCAGAGTTAAGCAGTGTAGAGAATTTCCAGTTGCATTTTATCTTTGAGGCGTTTATGCTCGCATATTATCTTCAAAAGCTACAAAAAGCAAATGTAAATTAATGAGATATTTGATTAGATTTTCTTTTTCTGTGAGGTTCTCCGACCGATTTTTTTGTTGTCTAACTGAAAGATTTCAGGAAGCCCCTTGCGTGATTTCTATAATGCTATAATATAATATTTCTAATAGTAATGATAGAGCTTCATATAATGATTTCTATAATAATACAATTTCTTTCTTCTTCTTCTTCTTCAGTCCCTAGATACGACTAATTTTTTCATTTGCAGGCGTTCAAGAGACAGACATTTGAAGGGAAGCGAGGCCTTGCCGCAGCTGAAGCCACTGAGTCTGCTCCAAAGAAGTCCAACCATTCTTCACTTAAGGAAAATTCGGCCGCGTCGCAAGTCTCTTCTTCTGATACAAATGATAGAGTTGCAGCTTCGGCTGATATTAAGCAAAAGAGGTAGAACTAGAAATGAAATTAGGAAAATTAAAGTGATTTCTGCTACTTTCTCCAAAGATGTGTGCGTTCGGGTCCAATCTGCTATTTTAAGGAGAGTTTTTTTTTAATGTGTGGCTTTCTAGTTTCATTTGTTCTCTAGTATAGATGCGCTAGTCTGATTTATTCTTACACGTGATTTTCATCTGATAAGGAGGCTTTTGAAGCCAATGTTATACTCGCTTTTATTTAAAGATCTCTTCGGTTACACAACATCTCAATATTAGCGGATGATACTTATTAATTTTGCTAGTCATTCTTTGCCATCTATCTTGTTAAATCAATTAACATTTTTTTCAACAAAATGATTATTGCATACGGTACTTATCGTTTTACCATACAATTTTCTTAGCTGACATCAGCACATCACGATTACAATTGTTAAGTCTGCATAGGCACACGAAGTTATTTCAGTTTCATTCACTGGTTAATTTTGTACGACACAAAGCTTTACGATCAATGCAATGATTATGTACTTATTAATGCTAGTGTTGTAGCAACTTGTTGTGAACTGAGCTCTTGTTTCATGTTCTACGTTACTAAATGGCTTATTACAACATTAAGAATGTCATTAATTGTGTTATGCTTGTGGCTAAACTGGAAAGCGACAGGTCCGTCAAGATTGCAAATTGATGTTCCGAGTTTTGTATGGATACTCGAATAGAATATAACAATTTTCTGAAAATTTCGTCCTGCACTATGTAATAAGAGCAGGTGGCCGATGTTGGCCACTGCATGAAATCTCAGGCCAGTTTTGAGCCGCGGTTATTATCTCACTTCAGATCCAGGCCGCCATTTCAAAGCTAATGAAGCCCCCACTGTTTCACCATCAAAATTAAACTAATTCAAATTATTACTTCATGGCGGAGCACCTTTATACCACTGCACACCTACTATTTAGTGCCATTGAAAACTATCATGTTAACTTCATTTAATATTTAGCGCTTCAATTGCGGTGCAAAATTAATTTTTTTGTTAATCGGGCTAGTTATGTTGACTTTAATTTGTTATTTTAAGTAATAGTCAGGGTCACTAATAAGTATTAGTAACCCTGAGTAACCTAATGTATTAGTCAGTCACTAATACTTTGAATTGAATTTGATACACGTTGATGATTTGTTGGGCTCAAAATTGGTCAAATATACCTTGATTGTCAACATGTCTCTAACTTAAGTATGTATTTCCGTATGTTTATTTCACGTGTGAAACATATCGTGTGCTCAGAGGTAAACGGGTAATTTGGGTAACTATTAAATAAATGCATTCCTGGGATGAAAGTTGAGAAGGTGTAATTAGATTCTAGTTTTGAAATAGACAGGATAAATAATAATGTTCCATAAATCCATTCCAAGAATGAGTGCTGTTTTTTTATTAAGTAATGGAGGGAGGTCTTTTTTTTTACCTATGCGGGAATTAATCAGTAAACTATATCCGGCGTACTGTACTTATGGGAATCTCTATATTAAGTCAACGAAAACTTTTCGTTAAACTGAAACCCTGATAAGGAACTCGAATCCCATCGTGTTTCGTGTTTATGTATTGCACTTCTTGTAAAACTTTACTTAATTAAGTAAAGTAATTACTTAAGTACACAGGATCTAAATCTTAATGGAGGATTACTTAACTAATTAATGGAGGTTTAGATTTACTTAATTAATGGAGGTTTAGATTTTATATGTTGCGAGGGATTAGCATGGTTCAAGTGCGTCTCAGACATTTATTTCACATCCGTTTACCTTAATTTACCATAATAGGGATAATAAGCGATGGCTATCAACATAGGCTTCAATATGGTGTTACAAAATTACTCACTACATATCATGAGTAATTTTGAAATGCATTTTTGCTGACTCGGTATTCCGTGCCCGGTCAACTTGTACTGTACATTTTCCATTGCGCTCTCCACTTCTAGATGTGCCGATGATTGTTAGCAGCTTATTGGTGAGGATTACATTTCCCAATAAGATTCTTTGTGCTTAACTTCTCTCTTCGCTTCTGTGGTATTTACAAATTTCCACGTTCTGCTTGATCGATTTCAATTGCTTCAAATAGAGCCTTGAAGTTGCCTGCTCCGAAGCCCTGTAAATTGAATCCAGTTACATCTTTAAAGTTCTCAACCATGATGAAACATCATTTAAACTTAAGATTTCTGTTACAAAATATTTTTTAAGTTCATAATTATGAAATGAATTTTTTCATATTCAAGTTTTCAATTGAAATGTTACGTATGAAGTCCTCTTTTAGGGGTGAATTTCTTTGAACAGAGGAACATTGATCTACAAAAACGGATTTCTAGCTCACTTGTGTTAATATTAATTTCCGAGCTAAGTTTGTACAAGCATAATAATGTTCGGCTCACCTGGTATAATGAAGCATAATAATGTCGATACCTTGTCATAATGTTCGGCTCGCTTGGTATAATGAAGCATAATTATGTCGATACCTTGTCATAATGTTCAGCTCACCTGGTATAATGAAGCATAATAACGTCGATACCTTGTCATAATGTTCAGCTCACCTGGTATAATGAAGCATAATAATGTCGATACCTCGTCATAATGTTCGGCTCACCTGGTATAATGAAGCATAATAATGTCGATACCTCGTCATAATGTTCGGCTCACCTGGTATAATGAAGCATAATAATGTCGATACCTTGTCATAATGTTCAGCTCACCTGGTATAATGAAGCATAATAACGTCGATACCTTGTCATAATGTTCGGCTCACCTGGTATAATGAAGCATAATAATGTCGATACCTTGTCATAATGTTCGGCTCACCTGGTATAATGAAGCATAATAATGTCGATACCTCGTCATAATGTTCGGCTCACCTGGTATAATGAAGCATAATAATGTTGATACCTCGTCATAATGTTCAGCTCACTTGATGATTGTGACGCTGGATCACTTCAAGGAAGAGAGTTGGTCGGTCCTGCATGTTCTTGGTAAAGATCTGTAGGAGGTAGCCGTCCTCGTCAAAGTCCACGAGGATGTTGAGCTTCTCGAGCATGTCCATGTCCTCGGCCACTTTAGTGCGGGACTTGGAGAGCTGCTCCCGCAGAGTCTTGTAGTAGACCTTGGGCACGGAGAGGAACTCCATGCCACGCTGGCGCAGGTTGGAGATCTGGCCGCACGCATGGAGAGGATTGCAAAATTAAGGCGGGTAAAATATTCGCTGCAAGATTAAGGAGGATAAAATGTTCGCTGCAAGATGGAGGTTAAAATGTGTGCTGCAAGATTAAGGAGGTTAAAATATTCGCTGCAAGATTACAGAGGTTAAATTATTTGCTGCAAGTTTAAGGAGGTTAAAATATTCACTGCAAGATGGAGGTTAAAATATTTGCAGCAAGATTACGGAGGTTAAAATATTCGCTGCAGGATTAAGGAGGTTAAAATATTCGCTGCAAGATTAGGGAGGTTAAAACATTGGCTGCAAGATTACGGAGGCTAAAATATTTGCTGCAAGATTAAGGAGGTTAAAATATTTGCTGCGAGATTTGAGGTTAAAATATTCGCTTAGGCTAAGGTGCTCAGATGTTAAGCATTAAGGCTAGAATATTGTTTGTGTTTTGGGAGTTTAATAGGGAATAATGTGTGTTTATTGATTATGATGAATATTGCTGAAATTCATCAAGTGAGCTTTACTCAACTTGTAAGGAGCAGCTATAATAGAATCATATTAAAAATATTTCAAAGAACATGCAGCAAATATGCACAATGTCTAGATGTTTTAATTTCTTTATCATTGTGAATAAAAAATAAATGTTTGGATTGATGCATTTGTGTCACTGTTATTATAGAACCCATAAGTTTAATCCTGAACGCCAATGTAGAACTTGCTCGATTTTCATATTAATTCGATGAAGTTCTCGAGAAAACTCGCCCAAATTCACCAAGATTTATTGCATCATTTTGATATAATAATAACAACATAATAACAATTCACACTGGCACACTCTTATCACTGTCTCTTATACACATCTAGATGTGTATAAGAGACAGCTACATNGTCATGTAGAGCATAACATGATGCGTCATGTAGAGCATAACATGATGCGTCATGTAGAGCATAACATGATGCGTCATGTAGAGCATAACTGTCACACTCACAGCCCTGATGATGTCGTTGGTGTTCATGGCGATATGCTGCACTCCGGCTCCTCCGTAGTGGTCCACGTACTCCTGAATCTGGCTCTTCCTCTTGCCAGGAGCCGGCTCGTTGATGGGCATCTGAGAACAATTTCATGTGTATTTAACTTCTTTTATTTATCTACAGTCATCTTACGTGCGCTTATTCTAGCTCATACACGTGCAATGAGTTCAACTTCCTCCGCTTTATTGATACAAAAGTTCTTGTATTGATATATGATTTTCGCTTTACGAGTATCGAGCGACTGTGGTTGAAGGCTCTTGTAAGCGACTAAATGGTGAGGCTATAAAGTAAATTTATTGGGATAACGATAGAAATATCAGGATTCTGAACCCTTCGTCACGGGTGCAATTGATTCAAAATTGCGTACGTTTCCAAACGAACCGAAAATTTTGTACAAGTTAGATATAATTACTAATTTATACGCTAAAAGCGATGCATATCAGGAGTGATACTAAAGTTTCTACGCATTGATGTATTATTGAATAGAAATGTTACCAAGCGCTGTGCATATATCGTGGAAGCAGTTTGGAGTAGCAACAACTAGATGTTATAAATGAAATAAATAAACTTTAATTAAATACCTTGATGGTCTCCTCCCAGTTAGTCACGACTATGGAGCGCAATGCCGAGTACTCGGTGTGAATTTGCTTGTCGTCTACCGACCAGAACCTGTGGAACGCGAGGTTGTCCTCGTACCACTTCGCTACGTTCTCCATCTCCAGGTCAGGCTGGTTGCCCACCACGTGGTCGATGAAGTTCAGTCCGATCTCAGGGCTACACGAAAAAATCAATTAAATCCAAAGTTCCATAAACGGAAAAAAATAAATGAGCTCGAATATTCCATAAACGAAAAAAAAACTAGATAAACTCGAATGTTCCATAAACGAAAAAAGTCAATGAACATCAATGTTCCATAAATGGGAAAAAACTGAAAGAAGTCGAATGTTCCATAAATGGGAAAAAACTGAAAGAAGTCGAATGTTCCATAAACGGAAAAAAATCAATTAAATCGAATGAACCATAACGTTTAACACAACAGCTTGGTAGCAGGAACATAACAGGATGTTACAAGTTTCAATTCTCCTGGATTGTGACTTGATATAATAGTGTGTTCAAAGATGAAGATTCCTTTACGTACATTCGTTACAAAAGGTGTTCTTCCCTTATTTGATGATATATTCTAATGTCTACGTGAGCGTAAATAGCCAGAAATATAGTAAATTTTTAATTTTAGGGAAACCATTAGAAATTTTGCAGGGATATACCAGTGCTGAGTACTGACGCGATTGTACGTTATTATTACTTATTATATAATGCATGTGATTAAAGGTCTAACGAATATTCACGTAAATTATTACCTGAATAAAGTCTTCAAGATATTTTCGTATGAAGTTGCAAGTTTCTAAACATACTAAACATTGTTATATAAATGTTTATGCAATATCTACGCCGCAGTCGTCTTGTTCCTCCCAGATGTCGCGCACCACTTGACCACCGCGCTGCTTTGCCACCTGTCGTACAAAAGTCAGGATGATTCAACTTGGGGAAAATATTTCCAGTTTTCATTTCGGAAAAAAAATTTCGTTTTTACTTTATGAATTTTTATTTATTATTTTTTTGGGGAAAAAATCCTTTTTTCTTTGGTAAAAAATTCCAATTTTTACTTTTGGGATAAATACAAAAGGCATATTTAATCGTTACTCGAACCTGACATTGTAAGTCAGAAATGTAAAACCTAGACGCAATCGATTTAAAACTAACAAATAAACAGAAAAAAGGTTCAATTACATCAGTCGGTTTCACAAGAAAAAGTTTGTTATTCTCACACGACGTTCATTACGTAGCTGGCCTAAATATTATCACAATAATTTCAAAATAAAAGCTGGTTAGCAACCTTCATGATGGCGTCGAGGTCTTCGACGGCAAATGCGACGTCCTTGGCACCGTCGCCATGCCTGACGAGGTGCTGGCCCATCTCCTGGTTGTCGGGCATGAGGGCGCTCTCGAACACGTACACGATCTGAGGCAGCCACATCGCTGTAATCTTATACGCTCAAATTATCTCTTCTTGTTGCAACAGTGATAGCCTGAATTAATTCTAAAAAATTCAATCTTTGGTATCCATTATTTTCTATACTGAAATAGAACAAATCGGGGTTTTCCGCATCAGATCACCTTGTTCTGTTTGACGGCATGTGAACAGACGGTACGCGAGCCTGTCTCAAGCCCGCGGTAGGCGTACGGCTCGAAACCTAGCCGTACGCAGTAGTAGCTCGCCGCCTCAGGGGGAGAAAACGCAAATTATTAAACAGTCGGTGCACTAGGCATGTACTCACTATTATTTATTATCAAATATTTTATTACATTTTTATTGTATTTATTACTATATTTATTGTTGTTAATCAGTACCAATCTCGAATATAGCAGATAACGTGAGAGTAATGAACAATGATAACGGCATTCAAATTAAAACTAAAATTTAAAATAAATTAGTATGCAAAATAAAACTTGATAATGGCTTGTATTATACCATGTCAGTTCTTAAATGTAGAAGTAATTCCTCCGGTGCTTTGTAATTCAATAGTATATGTTCAGTTGTGCAATAATAGAAAGAGTTGCTAATAATAGTAGACCAAGTGTCCGCCGCTCACCTGCTTCGCGTTGCCGACCCAGAAGCGTATGTGGTCAAAATTGAGGAACTTGCCTGCTTCAGGCTACGGGGGAAAATAAAATGAATTGAATTACATGCAATCTGCAGTGAACATAATGTAATTACCATGTTTTCTATATACCTCACATGAACGGAATATAAATGTCAATTTCTGTATCCCAGTATACGGAGTATAAATCCCATTTGCTATATATGTACGAGTATACGGAGTATACTATCCGGAGTATAAATCTCATATAAATATAAATCTCTTGCTATATGCGAGTATACGGAGTATAAATCTCACTTGCTATATATGTACGAGTATACGGAGTATACTGTCCGGAGTATAAATCTCACTTGCTCACTCGTGGCAATGGAATGCATTGGTAGAAAGTTAATGATTTTTTTTTCGCTTCGCAGAAAAGAACACTTCAAAAAAGTTTCGTACACAATTCCAATACGTACACAAACAACTGCGTAGTTGATGGTTAATGAAGGTAATTATGGATGGAGATATATTTAAGTTAAATACAGCTAATTACGCACCACACGTGTCGCAAACACGTTCCATCTGTCATGTCATAGAAGGAATAAGTAAAAATAGAGAAGCTTAAAACATGTATAAAAAATATATGAAACTTGATTTTGATTCTAAACATGAAAATATTTTTCGTCATGCATGTCAGTACCCTAAATCCAAAATCGTCAATTTTTCTCAAGTGATTTTCATGATATAATCAGCATTCTTTAGTTGGTACATAAATTGTTTGCAGTCAGAATTATCCTTAGTGACAAACATCTTTTAGCAGCCGTGAATAGTCGCGAGAATTTGCTTTGGCTTTGTATATACAAGTCGAGCCATCGCCTGGAGTCAGGATCCAAGGCCAGGCGAGGCTGCGTGAAACACGCCACGTTGTTCATATTTTTTGCAGGAGAGAATTTAAATTTCAGTTGAAATTGTTCACAGGTTTTGACTGAAGCGAGGAAGATTATAATACTAACGCAATAGTTTAAATTAAAGCTAAAAATTCTCGATTTGTATTTAAAGGGCTTGATTGTATTTTACTGAATAATATATTTGAAATTTGAGTTGATTCATTTGCATGCGCAATAAGCGCTCAACAGAATCAAGGCATAATTCCATGGAGATGAGAAATAAATACACTCCTCGTTTACCTACTATCGCATAACCAAAATCTATATTCTTGTTATAATGTATCCATCGTTAGAGCCATCATAAAGTTTTTAGAGTATAACACATACAAAACAAGAGTAAAGATGCGTAGTGCTTGTCAGTGGAAGGTTTAACACTGAGGGTTATGAGACCATGGGATTCTACGCAGTTTGACGCGAGACCTTTAAACTGAACAGGTTGTAAGTTAGGGTTAACAGAGAATCGCATTTAAACTGATAAACTAACTACGTTAAGAAATGGAAATTAGAATTTAGTTTTCTCATAAAAAGCTTCTGAAAATCACATTGATTTAACATCGAGATCAGAGACAACTGGCAAAAATCCGGTTACAGTCGATTAATTTTATACGCATTTGATCCATTAATAACGATAGAATTCGACTTACCTTTGGTCCTTTGTCAGTGTAGGTCGTCTGTAAAATAGGTAAAAAATGTAAGCAACTGTGCAATGGAAACGCACTTGAAATACATTGATGAAACTTAAGAAGCTTTGCAATACACATGTACTTAAAATACATTGATGAAACTTGTTATACGAGTTACAAGTAAATTTCACAATTCCATGACATAACGCATGCAGTACGGTATGTTATACACAGCCGTTTTGATTAATTAAGGTGCATTCAGTTCTGTAAGACAAATTATTAACTAGTTGTAGAATTATTGTCAGTTTTCTATGGACATATAACCTTGCACAATAAGGCTAATTTTTTGCATTAAAAAATTTAATTGAGGGAATGCGTTTTTTTTTCTAGGTTATCCGAAGCAGTGAAGAGTGCGTATCCAGAACTCACAGAGTTTGATTTACATATTCATCAATACAAATCATATATTGTTGAACTCCCTATTATAGTGAAGTCTTCATACACAAATGAAAAAATGAGACATGCTAGCAATTACGAAATTTTGAAAATAATTATAAACAGCAAGTTCTCTCTCCCTTACCATGATTGAAGATTTTTTCCCGGATTCTGAGCAGCGTGAGGCAGGTTGAAGAGACGACCAGGAAGCGCACCGAGTTCGAGGTTGTATGCAGCAAGACTCCCATAGAACGCAGTGCTGGAGCTGCCCAGTAAAGGAGCTCGGGATCAGGTTTTCCTGAACTGCTGAGGTGATGTCGAGGTACCGGTTAGGCCACAGCGATGCTCCAGGGTGAAATGTTTTATCTGATGCGATCTTCGCGTCGCGGTATAGCTTCTAGTTTTGAGATGTGGTCATATGCGTTTACGATGCTTTGCTCTGTTATATGTGCGGGTACTGAGAATAGTTTTATTCCAGCTAGAGATGAACAGTATCGGCTACAGCAAGCTTTTATTTAAGATTTTGCGGACAAACCCCATAAATGTAGTGATCTCAAATACAAATTTAGTATCCCAATCTACATTAATTGTTTACAGGCAATATACTTCATTCGTTGGGTATTAAAAACTATTGATAAAATTCTTCCAACCCTCTATCTTAGAGTCAAAGAAATCTTATAATGAACAATACGTTGAAATATTCGTCTATTAAATAATTTTAAATTTATATCGGCTCGAAGTAATCTCAGACCAAATGGTGGAGCAAACACCTTGATTGCAACGCGCTGCTGGCTTGGAAACAGCGTCAGTAGGATACCAAAATATATCGCCCATTAATAACTTGAAACCGGTAGGCCCGCAAGCTCTCACATCGCGGCCATCGTACGAGAATAGCGGCGCCAGATCATTTAAATACCGTGTGTCCAGTATATGTCCTTCGTACCAAGACAAAAAAAATAATAATAAAATAAAAGTGATATCAAGTTAGGAATAATTTTTTCCTTATTAATTTGTTAATAATCATGCCTTATATCATGGACAGCGTAAAATTACGTTTGTGCATTACCGCAACAAGCATTTCACCTGAAAGAAAAAAATTCGATAAAAACAAATAATTTAAATCGTGAATTTTCGCAGAAGGATTCTCTCCCGATTTCGTTTATGTGCAAATACAACATCCAAAAACTGCCCTGGACCAATACGACAAATTCTCGATGATGAAATTATTATCTTGAGTACGAATTTCTCGCGTTCTGTGATACAAAATTTTAGTAAACGATGTAGGCACGAATTTTGAACAGAATTTGTAAATTGTGACCTCGAGCTCCTAAGCAAGTACTGCTAAAAAAAATCCTTTTGAACAAAATATTTGCGCGTCCATTCCAGCCAGCCAATAGCAAGCCTCCTTCTCACACGCCCACCTAATCCAGCCAATCACCAGCCAAGCCTGGCCTACTCGCTTGGCTGCTCTTGTAGATTTTTCTTGCCCGCATTATATTCTTCAAGAGTCGGATAGACTGAACATGAGGCGAAAAAAGTATTCAATTGTAATAAACGTTGGAATTTATAGACCAATTTATCACCGAGGATATCCATATGAATGTAGAAAAAATTAAATTTATACAAATGAAAACTTAGCAGAATTCAAATGCAACATGTGGATGAGCGTCAAGATTGCAATTTTAGCAGCAAATAACATATACGAAGAAGGAAGCTTACATACGAGAACAAATATCAGATTGCATCGAAGGTAAGCAGGGTGGAAATCAAAAGTCGAAAGCAAATGCGAGATTGCATAATATATTCCTCAGAAGAGAATAATAAAGAATTTATTATTATAATAATTATCGACACTTAGAACATCACGGAACTACAACGCATATTTCCGTGAGGGGATACGTGTGTAAATCCTGCACGAAGAAACGAGTTTATGATGAACTGGAATGTAAAGTAAGACGTATAACTAAAGGCGACTGTACAATGAACTACTTTCACGTTCGTAACATAAGTGTCAGATGAATCTTTCACGAAAGATTTAATTTAATTTAATTTCACACGAAAAAATCTCGGTATTGAAAAAGTGTCGCGACTGTTGGAAGTGGCGCGTACAAGCCACAAATGGCCGCACTATATACGAGCGGTGCGTATTTCATAAATAATGAAGCAAGTCTGAAAAATAAAATCAACCAAGACAGACTGCGCCTATGTTAGCTGCGTAGGCTTTACCGTGTGCTATTGCCACGGCAGCTCAGGCTCATCTTTCAGTTCGCTACTCGTGCCCCGAAAATTACCACATGAAAACTCGGTATAGAAGGAAACATTGCAGTGCGGTGAAGATCATATCAATAACAAAAAATATCATATAACCTTGGGAAAATGCCGCATCAATAACAAAATATATCTATCTATTATAAATAGAAAATAAAAAGATACGTTTCACGTCATAAAAAACTATTCGCAAAGAGGAGAGGCAGGCCATGGTTGAATTAATACATTAGTTACATTATTAATGTATTAATTACAACTAAGTATTAGTATTAGTTACAACTAATACTAATACATTAGTATTAGTTCAACCATGAGGCAGGAAACGAGTCTCAACCGCGAAGAAGGAAAGTATGCGCGATGGCACGCACCATGATGTTTACGTGCCACCTCACTGATGCATCAAAAACACTTGAAATATTCTCCTTACAAAGAAATAAGTACATCTAAAACACCCAAATTAAAATAAATCTCTTAGAAATAAATGTGTACATACGTGGTAAAAGTCCGTTTGAAGACGTAATCATAAACTTTGACTCAGGCTAACAATCAACAAGCAATAATCGCTCTGAAAACGACGTATATCACATTTTAACAGCAAATACCATATTGTAACAGTAAATACCATATTGTAACAGCAAATACCATATTGTAACAGCAAATACCATATTGTAACAGTGAATACAATATTGTAACAACAAATACCATATTGTAACAGTGAATACAATATTGTAAGAGTTTTAGCATCACAGTCCAACGGTGGGTACAGAGCAGTTAGCAGCTCAAACAATGGCGGGCGTTCGTCTCTGTTTCGAGCGAGTGTGATTCGTTACACTCGAAAGAACTAACGAATTAAAACTAAAACTATTTACAAAAACAAATGGTACCAGAAATACACGTGTGCTTGTAATTTATGAGGGGAGTCAGGACTATTTGTGTTTTGATATTTGCTATTAATTTCAGTACAAATCAACCCTGGTTATCACTTCACTTCGGCCTCAATGTTCTAATGTAGAGGCCCCTAAATCATAGTCGCTCATCGAATGTCTTCCAAGTTTAACCTAACTACGAAAAACGTCTATACAAATACAGAATAAGTAATATCGATGCCACGAAGTAATAGACAAAGAATCGTGTAACTACAACGCACTGTTGAAGTACAAAAAACTAATCAACAGGAGGTCTGTCGATAATTATCACTAATAAAACAATTCGAAGTTAAATATTTGAGATTAGACCACGTCGGATGTAACGAATTGTGATTAAACTCGTTCAAGAGGCCTCTAATATAAAATATTTATTACACATTACGGGCAGACAAGATGAGAACAGCAAACAAAGAGGATCTTGTTACGATTGCTTGGCACAGTAAACTAAGCTGCCGCTAAAACGAATATTAAATGATTTACTCCACTAAACTCGCATACTAGAAAATATTTCACTACGGATCAGGGTTTCAGAAAATATCAGTAAATATCTAAAAAAGCTTCCAAACGCACGAGATTCATACAGTAATAGAGTAGATGTACAATTATGTGTCTGCTAAGGTTCTATACAAACAATTGTGACACATTTTGATCAGGAAGCTCTAAAATTTATTTCCATTTATTAAAACCCTTCTAAGATGAATATCACGGAGCAAATCATGTGATTTAAAACCACTAATTTCTGGAAATGAGAAGCACGCACAACCCAAGATGGTCTGCCTTCTCGGGGAACAAAAATATTAGGTTGACTTGCATTGCACCAGAAAAGTACGAAATAAAAATTTTCACCCGAGTGCGAAATTCATACATGAAATTTGAGATCACAGCCAAGATTGCAGTAAAAAATATTTGATTCAAGGCGCTGTCGAGAGTTAGAAAGCTATGTTACATGACGTAACACGCAATAATGAATTGGTCTATATTTTTACATTGCAGATTGTATTCAAAAAGAAAAGGTATTGATGCTTTCTCTAGCTTTGCAATGTACAAAGTATTCAGTTCTGAGATTCGCATGTAATGGCTAACTTGGCACAAATTTACGATAAATTTTCGGCAAATAATAGATAAAAATTTGCTTCAAACAAAAGATTTTGTAAGTAATTGATAAATCTCTGAATAAAGCCCATTGTTTATCTGAACACTAGCTGCCAAAATCTAATACTAGAGTATGAAGGTTTAAGTAGCAAATTTTACAATAAATTCTCTGAGCAAAACATCTTGTACAAATCGAGAACCAATTTTTCGATTACGTGGCGGAACCAAAACAGGATTCGATTAAAAAAACAGACTCGGATGTAAGACAAGAATGGCACATGAAACATAAATAAATCTTATGTCATACAGTCAATATGGAATGATTATGACAAGTCACTTGTACTCAACCCTTCTTGAAGACTTGCTTTTGAACTAAAAAGTGGCATTCAAAAACTAATAAGGAAGCATTTTCTCCAAGAGAATAAGATAGAGACGTAGAAAGATTGCACTGCATCACATGAAAATTTTCCGTATTGACCCGACAAAAATTAGTAACACTTAATATCAAAATGGATGAGAGGCAGATTAGAACATCAGGCGAGCTACATGTAAGTTGCCGCTCCAGAGAGTGATGGTTGAACTCCCAAACACAGGTGCGGGGTAACCAAAAAAGTAAAATAACTGCACATATAGCCAAGTTTACATTCTAGTTTTGTACATTAAAGATGAACGCAACACCTCAACAACGAATAAAATTAATAGAGAACCTGAGAAATGGCTAGAAATAAGGTATGGCGAACGACGTAATAAGAGCACAAATAAACCCGAATTCACGAAAGGGTAAAGGAGTAGGGCCTTTAAAACCTTAAAAAAGTAAAACCATACACGATCTCGGTATATAAGCATCAATGATAAATACATTGATCTTTTTATATGCTCTCAATTTTACTACCAAAATAAAAAAAGGCGCCGAGAGAATTAAGAGGGATTTTAATCAGAATCGCACGTGGACGTAGTATATTTTAGTTGTCATTTAATTAAAATATCAGTCTGAAGAATAGAAAATTATTTTCAGCAAATTAAGGATTCCAAATCCAATTTTTAGAATTTTATAACAGGCGATTCCTGCCTGTTATAACCGGGGCCCGCCATGATTGCTCTCCTTTCAGCAGCGGTTGAGTAGACACGTGTTCATTGGCGCCAGATCGTCCAGTCATACGAAGGATTGGAAGCGTGCGTGGGGCTCCTGAAGGGCGGCTCTACGAGATTGCATAGGCCCTCAGCTGGAGACTCCTCAGCGACGGCAACAGCGCAGTACGGCACCTAAGCATACAACGACCAACATTTCACGATTTTCCCCTTTTTGCGAAGGAAATCATCACAAAGCACATCACGGCAGATTATGGGAAGAAAAGAAAGTACCGAGGAGACACAATACAATAAGTAGCTACGTTCATCACACCAATTATGATGACACAATGCACAGAAATGTTACCTATACATATTACCAAGTGCTTTATTCGGTAAGAGGTCTCGTCTCTCTACTAAGTTCAGGTTTACTTGAGAGTACTATTACTTTATTTTTTTCCGAGTGAACGAGGTTTTAAACACACATATCCATAAGAGAACCCATGAAACATTGCTTTATAACTGCAAGAACGCAGACCTTTTGCACCAGCGAGGTCATGCCAGAAGAATTGCGAGGGTGGGCGCCTACGAGTTGTCTGGTGCAGGTGTCGAGCGAAGCAGCGTGCGCTACCAGCAGCACTGAACCTCCTGAAAAATGAAGACCATATGTCATTTCTGTGCATCTCAAAATAAATGGATACGTATCGGGCTGATAAAATTAGTTAGTTGTATAATAATATAATTCAGCATTGAGAATGACATGATGAAAGGAATGATTCATCAGTAGCCATCTACCTTGGAATTTAGTTGCCGCCAATATTGAGTTGGTGACCTGGCTGCTCCTGGCATAATATTGTTCGCATGTCTCATCAGTTGAGAGCTTCGAGGTGGACAACACTGGCCGGTAGCTGAGGTCTATATTGAACGCAGCGCTAGTTAACTCTTCATTCGTCATGAACCGTGGCACTCCTTCGGGATACCAAGCAAGCCACTCGAAGAGTCCTGGCTCAATTTTAAGAGGCATTCTATCCATGAGCTTCATGGCACGCAGCACACTCGTGGCTGTCATTACACAGCGAAGAGAAGGACTGCAGTAAACATGATGGATGGGAGTGTGGGTCGCGGCAAACCCTTCTCCTACTAATTGGGCTTGCATCTCTCCTATCCTCGTCAAAGGACAATCTTTGATGAAAGCTTGAGGCATGTCAGCTCGTGAAGGTACACTTGGCTGCAAGTTCAGGTCTGCTTGCTTGTATCGACCTTCTTTATCGAAGCAAACTTTACACCAGTCACCGAAAGTAAAATCGGCGCGCTCGCCGTGCCGCATAACAATTAGACGTCGCGGCCCCGGGATAGGGAAGACCAGAGATGGAGTAGATCGAGTGAGGCTACCGAAGTTGCTGGGCAGAATCGTCCTGTGCGATCTACGTGTTGTTTCGGGACTTTTTTCACTGCTCCCCTCCTCGGATATGCTGCGGTGAGTGCGGTATGGGGGGCAGTTGTACAGTGGGTTCTTAACGCATTCTGAAGAGCCAGCTCCTAAGAGGGAAGCCATGCTACGGCGCGAGCCCTCGCTGTGTCCCAGGATGTTGAGCAATGAAAGACTGAGTCCACTAGGCAGCGGGTCGCACTCAAATGTGGTCCCGTGGCAGCTGGAGGAGCGAGGTGGGGGTGAGGGCACCAGTTCCTCTGCAAAAACCTGCGGGGCGCAGTCTTCATCGCTCACGTCCAGGGAAAAGCCGTCAGCACCGATCGTCAGACTCCTGTAAATAGGAATCTGAATTTAAGNCAGTTCCTCTGCAAAAACCTGCGGGGCGCAGTCATCGTCGCTCACGTCCAGGGAAAAGCCGTCAGCACCGATCGTCAGACTCCTGTAAATAGGAATCTGAATTTAAGGTCTTGAAAGTGAAAGATTATTCCCTAAATAAAAAATACCTGTACTGAAACTACACAGACTGAAACAGTATTGGACATTTTAAGCAAGTTGAATATAATTGTGATGTTTAAATCAACTTGAATATACGATTTTTACGGACATCAAAACAAAACCAACAATAAATGCAAGACTTGCTGGAAGCTTGTCAAAATATGATCCAGAAAAATATTTTAAATTAACATTGAAGTGATTTGAAATTCTTAAATTACTAAAAGCAAGCACAAAGCATATTCCCAGCAAATTTCCATGACAAGCCTCTGACTTACCGATGCAGGGTCCAGGCATCGGAGTCAGGCACTCTGACCAGGCACACGAGCGCCACTAGCCCCGAGCACCCCGTGAGCCACGAGACGCCCCTGACCCAGCCGTCCGACGACGCGTCGTTGCCGTTGATCACGACGTACTCGTCCGCCATGAGCGCAAGCTCGTCGCTGTGCGAGGGCCTGTGTCGGCGCACTGACCTGGAACACACAGTATCGATAAATATATAAGAATTTAAAAGCAAAGAAAACGATGAAAAAAGTATTATAAATTTAAACATGCTTGGCGTATCCAGTCTTGCGTCCTGCAGTATCAAGTCTTGCGTTGTAGTCTATCACTATAAGCTGCAGGAAGCTATAAATCAAAACATGATCCTGTAAAACGTTGAAAAGTTTGACCATTCCAATAATGGCACAGAGAACTGTGATATCAGAGAGCTGAAACATGCAATGGAGAGTCCAAAAACGTAAATGAATTCATAATGATGAAAACAACGAACAATACTCATGTCAAAAAGAAAACTGAAATAAAGGAAACCAATATTACAAAGAAGACAATTGTAACAACGTAGACAAAGGTTACAATGTAGACAAGGTAACAACAACAACAATACAAAGCAAAAGTGAAATGTAACAACACAGCTGAATGTTGCACTTGTCATAGTATGCCAAAACTAATAATCTCCCATCGCCATGATATTATGACATTGAACAAATCTTACTTGTACAAGTCGAGTCCATTGAAGCGCGGTTCTCTGGAGTATAGACAGAGCTCCCAGGAGGCGGGCGCGGAGGCCTGCACAGTCTTGACGTATTGCTCGAGCTTCAGGAACTGCTGCGTGGTGTAGCCGTATGCCAGCGTCAGGTGAAGGTCTTCTTCTGTGGTGCTGCCGCTCACGCCAGGGCAAACGCTCGTAGCAAGCTGACCAAATGCAAGAGTTCCATTCAATGTTAAACATTTTATTTCATTTAAAGACTTTTTATTTTTCAATCAATATATTTTCAGAGGAATAAACTTAATGCCTGACGGATTTTTCCAAGATTATTCAAAAAGTTAAAGGTGCTGCCGCTCACGCCAGGGCAAACGCTCGTAGCAAGCTGACCAAATGCAAGAGTTCCATTCAATGTTAAACATTTTATTTCATTTAAAGACTGTTTTTATTTTTTAATCAATATATTTTCAGAGGAATAAACTTGATGCCTGGCGGAGTTTTTCAAGATTATTAATAAAGTTAAAGGTGCTGCCGCTCACGCCAGGGCAAACACTCGTAGCAAGCGGACCAAATGCACGAGTTCCATTCAAAGTTAAACATTTCATTTAAAGAATATTTTGATTTTTATGCAATATATTTTCAGAGGAATAAACTTGATGTCTGAGGGATTTGTTCAAGTTTAATCCAAAAATAAAACGAGTTAAGTACTGAACAAATCTTACTTGTACAAGTCGAGTCCATTGAAGCGCGGTTCTCTGGAGTAGAGACAGAGCTCCCAGGAGGCGGGCGCGGAGGACTGCAGTCTTGACGTATTGCTCGAGCTTGAGGAACTGCTGCGCGGTGTAGCCGTATGCCAGCGTCAGGTGAAGGTCTTCTTCTGTGGTGCTGCCGCTCACGCCAGGGCAAACGCTCGTAGCCAGCTGACAAAATGCACGAGTTCCATTCAATGTAAAAATTTCATTTCATTTAAGGAATATTTTTATTTTCAAGCAATATATTTTCAGAGGAATAAACTTGATGCCTGAGGGATTTGTTCAAGTTTAATCCATAAATAAAAGGTCTTCAGGAATGCAAAGTAAGATTATCCGAACGACTGACTTGTATGAAATGGCGCTTCAGACTGTGGAGTACAGGGGCAGCAGGAGAAGTGACAAAGAGTCCCATGTAATTAGGAGAGATGTACTTCTCAAGAGGTAGTGGCAGGGGGAGAGGTGTGGCGCTCAGTACAGACTTGGCTGCACTTGTCATCATCTCGCTCAGCTCTGCACTATGTTCATCTGACACCTCAAGAAGAAAAAGACAACACATTGTTTACATTAATCATAAATAAACTTAGTTTACTATTTTCATTTCACTATTTAGTATAGTGAAATGAAAGCAAACAAGATGCTAAACATTTTCAATTTATTCAACCTAATATAAAATAATAAAAGATAATAGATACCTTGAAGTGAGAGCAAAGTGTGATGTGCGGCATGAGATTTTGGGCAGCATTGCGGCCAACATTTTCAAGCATTTGTTCCCAGAATTCATAGATCTGTAAAAATAAAATGTAAAAAACTAACTCTAAATGCAGCAAGGTCTGTTAGGCAATAAACTTCAATAGCAAAGAGAATAGTCATTCATCTCCTCACTGATTTCAAGAAGTAGGTAACTCTGATGCTTGAGAACTATCAACTGGAATGGGTATTCTATGATTCTAATTTCAAAGGAACAGAAAACTTTTTCAACATATTACAAAAAAATTTCTTATAAACTACCTAAGTCAAGAAATCAAAGCCTAAATAAATTTTAATCTAATAATAAATCCATAAGTCCATTACATACCTGAGTGTTGAGAGGCCCAGCTGGTCTCAGGTATAGCACATATTCACGAGCTTGTATCTCGTCCAACTCAGGGTCATTGTAGTGAGCAGCCAGCCAGTCAGATGCAAGTTGAACACTTCTGTTTCCTGTGGCAGCCAAGGCTTTTTGCCTGAAAAATTGTTTCCAATGAAAATTCAACAAAAAATAGAGCACAAATTATTATTATTACTTCATAAGTTTCTGTTATAAAATCTTGAAAATTATATTTCATAAGATCTAAATAGTACAAGATATTAACATTAAGAAAAATATTAAATGGTTCCACAAAATCATAAGAAAAAAAAATTCTCAACTTACGCTCGTTTATATGGAAAGCCCATTTGCTGGAGAAGCTCCAGAGACTGATTATATTGTACAGGATAAGGTTGCATATTAAGGTCAGTTGATCTGAGGCTCATATTACTAATGAATAATTAACACACTAGGACAGTTGGACATCAAAGCTCACACACACCTGAAACGTGAAAACATATGTTGCTATGAAACACATTGATATACAATAGAGAAAACAATGAGATCAATATTTAGTGCAAACCATTAGCCAACAAAGCCTCAAATATTTTTTGGATTTTTCTAGATTCAATATTCTTTTTAGCACATTTTCTCATTTATGGAAAAAATGCACTATTGTGCTTGCCATGTCCGTCTGTCTGTCTGTCCATCCGTCGGTGACCTCAAGTTATTTTTGTGTTATACTTCTAATGTTTGTTGCAATTCCAAGATTCACTAGTTTTGATATTACTAAAGAAAGTGAAAATTTATATCATTCTTACATACTGTAGGTAACTCTTAACAAGCAATCCAGATATTGGTAAGAAGAGGTAATCTCACAAAACCTCATTATCACTCCATCAAAATATTTCATTATTCACCATAATTATTCTACAACTTAACCCATTAATGCCAAGCGGTTCCATCATGAACTAGCAGAGAACAAAATATCCATTTGTAAATATACAGGTGGATGCGTATTGCGTAGGTTTGATACACCTCTTGTATGTGTTTTGGCAACGAATGGTTCTGCTGGCTGACTACTCCCTGTTCAGTTAACATTCAAAGATTATAAGGACCAGGTGTCTGACAGGACAGCTTGATATCATAGCAGTGAGAGGTTGGTAATTTGTTATAAATGTATATTATTTATGAGTTTAATGCAGACTTTTTTTGATAAAGTGAATGTTTTTAATGCTGTATATGCTAGTATTATGTGATTATTGTGATATAATGTTTCTAAAGTCATTTAAATAATGAAATATTTAGCCCAGTTCATAATGGGACTAAGCTATAATTTTTCACATACAATGAAAAATAAATATTTGAACATATTTTTTATTTATTACCATTACAAGTGATAATATTCTCACAGGAAACCTCAAAAAATTACAGAAAATAATTATCAGCATTAATGGGTTTGTCTATTGTCTCTGATACATTTATTGTCATTAATGCTATTCCAACTTAGTGGTTTTGGACCAAGATGTCCCCTTAGTTACAAAAGTGTTAATTTATGTTAATTAAGAAATGCATATTTAAAGCCTGATCAAGAGAAAAACCATTTGAAACTTCTTGAGATAGATGGAATTGCCACTAATGCTTGAAAGTAGGTAAAATGTTTTTGTTTCTATATGTACCGTAAAATGAAGAGATATGGTGCATAACCTGTTACTGTTTGAAAATTGTCTTACATGGATTAAAAAAGGATTTAAGGCAAAAAACCCAATGTCAATGCTTATAAATTTTTCTCAGCTGCCAACTTGAAAATCAAGCTCCAAAATTAGAGCATTATTGAAAATATGTCACTTTGGAGCCCTAAACCTTTAGTTTCATGTGGGTGTTTTCTTATCTTCTAGAGAGTTTAAATTCAAGATTATATGCAGACTGCACCCTGCTAATCACTTTAGGATGCTATCTACAGTCAGTTCAATGCATAGAGCAAACAAGAGATTTTTTTAGCAATCAGTTCATTATGAATTTCTTGATCTACTTGAAAATTTAAATAATATCAATATATGAGTATGATGATGCCAATATCCATGATACCGTACTTTAACTGGTTTGCTCATATATCATGTAGTTAAAAGCAGTGTGGACTGAGGAATTCTAGAGGGGTATTAAAATGACCAGTATGAATAGCATATTCGAAAGTAGGACCTGAAAGCTTAGAAATCAGGATCTGGACATTCAGGATCTTTCCACATTCAGTCCATTATATAAATATCTGTTGATGATATCCCTTCCACTATAACAATGACGGGACCACAATAACAATGCCGGGACCACAACAACAATGACGGGACCACAATAACAATGCCGGGACCACAACAACAAGGACCACAATACCTGCGGGAAGGCAGGCAGGCTCTTGAGGTGCTTCAGGAGCCACGTGTGGTCGCTGAGGTCCGCCTCCTGCTCCACGCCTGCAACAACACTTGTAGTTAATTCAACAGCACGTTCAACTCGAGGACTACTTTCTACTCACTAATTTCTACTACAACTACTCACTAGTACTTCTACTACTACTACTACTACTACTACTACTACTGCTCCTCACTACTTTCTACTTACTAATACTACTCACTACTTTCTACTTACTACTACTACTACTACTCACTACTTTCTACTTACTACTACTACTACTACTCACTACTTTCTACTTACTACTACTACTACTACTCACTACTTTCTACTTACTACTACTACTACAACTCACTACTTTCTACTTACTGCTACTACTACTACTACTCACTACTTTCTACTTACTGCTACTACTACTACTACTACTCACTACTTTCTACTTACTGCTACTACTACTACTACTACTCACTACTTTCTACTTACTGCTACTACTACTACTACTACTCACTACTTTCTACTTACTGCTACTACTACTACTACTACTCACTACTTTCTACTACTACTACTACTACTACTCACTACTTTCTACTTACTTCTACTACTACTACTCACTACTTTCTACTTACTACTACTACTACTACTCACTTTCTACTTACTACTAGGTACTACTCACTACTTTCTACTACTACTCCTCATTACTTTCTACTACTACTACTACTACCTACAATTGTACTCACTACTTACTACTACAACTCACTACTTTTTACTTACTACTCAGGAGCTCAACTTCCAACAGTGCAATTCACAATACAGCTAGATACCGTATCTATTTTGTACGTAAGAATATTTTCCATAGAAGATTATGAATTGAACTCAAGCATACGTTTTGAATGAAATAGTTTATTTTGTAAGAAAAAAAATTGTTTTAAATACGATCATGTTTTAAAATCAAGAATATTCATTGAATGAAAGAATGTGTTTCTTAAGTAAGAACATATTTATATATAAGAATACGTTTTGTAAGTATGCATATGAGGACGCAGCACAGACGCACTGCGTCGTCAGAGTAGGACATAATGGGTCACCTCCAGCAGGAGTGAGCTGCCTGCAGGGCTGCAGTCCCCTACTCCTACAGGACCTTAGC